AGGAAGATGTCTTTTTCCACTTTTGAATCAAACTTTCCAAGTTAAATCATCATTATCATCACTATCTTCTAAGAAATCCCTCTGTCTTGTTATCTAAGAACGTATTAAAAAATATTGTTATTATAGGAACATAGGAGTTTATTGCTAGGTATTTTGCCAAATAGGATTGTCTAGTTCCTATAGAACCTATCACTAAAATACCCCTAGGGGGTAGGGCTAAGCAAAGCAAAAAGGGTTTTACATGAAATGGAAAATAAATAACCATTAGCCCTTAGTGTTCAAAACATAACACTCACATCCAAATGGATGAAAGTATGATACATTAGGTTTTCTCCCCCTCCACAATTCATATGGAGTCTTGTTTAACAAAGGTCTTGTCAATATTTTGTTTTAAATATAACAGGTCATGTTCACTACTTCTACCCAAAAGTATTTTGGCAGAGTTTTCACAAAGTAAAGTTCTAGCTATCTCTTGTAAGGTTCGACTCTTTCTTTCAACTATCCCATTTTGTTGAAGTGTTCGCAGTGAAGAAAAGTTGTGAAAGACACCATTCTTTTCACAAAAAGGTTTTGAAATAAGAAATTTCAAATTTCGTTCCATGATCATTTTTAATGGCAAAAATGCAAAAGGCTTTCTTATTTTGAACATATTTATAGAATATCTCAAATACTTTGAAAGACTCATGTTTGTGGGCTAGGAAGTAAACCCATGTGTATCCAGAATAGTCATCTATAATGATAAATCCATATTTCTTACCACCTAAACTTAAGGTTTTAGTAAGACCAAACAAATCCATATGTAACAACTCCAAGGGTCTAGAAATGGAAACAACTTGCTTAGATTTAAAAGATTTTTTGATCTGTTTTCCCTTCTGATAAGCTTCAAAAAGAATATGAGTTTTTTTGTGAATTATCAAGTAGTCCTTTTCTATCTGTCTAGAGTTTTTCCTCCTTTTTCACTAGCTTTGCAGAAAGTAGTCTTAGGTTTGGATTGAGATGTCCCAAATATATAATCAAAGCCAAAACCACTTTTGTCTAATGAAAGTCTTCTATGTTTCAAAAACATGTTTAGTTTTGAAGACTTATCAACAAATTTAGCAGGTCTCTTCTAAGTTATACATTTTCAACTTCTAATGTTGTAACCTCAGGTGGAACATTGCTAATGATTTTTTCTTTGAGAGTTTGTATCTCTTTTGTAGCGTCTGACTTGCTTATCTTGAGTTTTTCATTTTTATTTTGTAAAATTTTGTATTTTTCTTTGAGTTTCTTGTACTCAAGAGAGATCATGTGAGAGTTTGCGAGGAGAGTCTCATAGAACATCTTTTCCTCATCAAAATTAGATAAACAAGAGTTGGGATAAAAAATTACCTCAATCTTTGTATTGTCTAACTTAGAGTCAATGTATACCATGAAACAGATGTTGGATTTCTCTTCGTCTAAACTATTGCTACTGTTTAGATCTTCCTAGGTGACCATTAAGCTTTTCTTTGCTTTCTTTTTGCTAATCCATTACTTTTCTAAGTGCAGGACATTCGCCTTTCATATGCTCAGGCCTCTTAAACACATAGTAGACAACTTTCTTGTTATCATTTTGGCCAGGCTTCTTAAATTTTTTTTTTTTTTTTATTAATGAAAACTCCCTAGTCTTTTCTTTTTTTTTAACATGTCTTTGAACTTCTTTTAGGCATGAGAAATATCTCATTGTTTGTCGAGTTCTCAAAATTTTCATCTAATTTGTTAGACTTAAACTCAACCTTCAAAGCTTTTCCTTTTCCTTTTCTTTCTGGTTTCACCACTTCTTAAAGCAATTGACTCGTTAGCTTTAAGATGGTTTTTGTTGTTCAGGTGAACTTCATGAACTCTCAAAGCTTCAAGAAGTTCATCATGAGTAAAAGCCTTTAGGTCATGCACCTCTGATATTACTATGGCTTTGGACTCCTAGATTTTTGGAAGACTATCTAAGATCTTAAGGTTATTTCAATATTTAGACTCCCAAATTTTAACCCATTTAGAATTGTTTGAAATCTTGTAAACATTTCGTCAATGGTCTCATTCTTCTTCATGGAGAAAAACTCATAATGCCTTTGAAAAGTGATAGCTCATCTAAGTTTGACATCTTTAGTACCCTTGTGAGTTACCCTGATGGCCTCCCACATTGATTTGGTTGTAGAGTAGTTGTAGAACTTGTTGTACTTTATTCTGGATAAGGAGCATGCCAAAATGTATCTAGCTTTTGTGTTGAGCTGTATAATATTGTAGTCCTCTTGAGTATATTGACTCTCAAGCTTGGTAACAATAACATTTCCTTGTGTGATGATCTTCTAGAGGTGGTATTGGGTTGAATTTAATGAATATCTCCATTCTATCCTTCTAATATAGGTAGTCTTCTCCATTAAAGACTGGTGACCATGTAAGAGAAGCTATTTCTGGAAGGTACTTACTTTCACTGCTTTCCATAGTGGATCTTTTCCTTTAGCAATTAGATGCTCAATCTTGTCTAAGCCTAAGCTCTAATACCAAACATTGGAGAAAAACTCACACTTTTTCAAGTAGTGAAGTAGTATCGCTAATAGTAAATATTGTAGTAGAAAAGGCAGACGAAAATACATGGTAATTTTTATTCTAGTTCATTTCAACCATCGAGACTATATTTAATTCTCAATTCAACCAGATTGAGTTTCACTATCTTTAAAAAGATACAAGTGTTATTTTAACAAGTTACTTTTGACTCAAACCTAAGTGTTCTTTGAATTGCCTCTTCAAGTAATCTACCCAAGTATTCTTTCAACACAAAGTCTATCCAAGCTTCAACACCAAGTATTCTTTTACAGTAATGTCTCTTTAGGCTCAAACGAGTATTCTTTTACAAATAACTCTCTTTAGGCTCAAACAAGTATTCTTTTTAACAAACAAGTCTTTCCAGACTCAACCTTATAACAATAATTACATTTGGGTACAATCTTACAAATGTTGTTTCATCTTACAAACAAGATGTGATACAACCAGTTACAAACAATGTTTTTATAGAAAAAAATGAATAAATATTTACACAAGATTTTCTCGTTTTGGTCATCAATTCTATTCTTTTTTTTTTTATCTTGAAATTCTTTATATATTAGTCTACATGAAGATAACCATTGCAAGACCTTGAGGGTTCCTCACAAGCTTGTTTCGTCTGTCTTCGTTATGAGTCCCTTGAGATGAGAAGTATCCGTTAAAGCATTAAATACTTGCATTAATTGCATTTCACCAAATTGTTACTTCGTATCTGATCTAGAAGGCTACTTATCAACCTTAGAAACCAAATGCACTTCTTGTGGTGTGTGTCAACGAAGAATAGGTTCTACATAAACTTTTATTGACGTTTTCTATGATTTCAAGGATCCACGTGTCCTTATTTTTTGTATGCAACTTGGCTTTAACAAATTTGTGATTTACAATGAGATTTCATTATTCAATATATTAACGAACTGTTTAGTCATGCACTTAATAGTCGCTGTTCATAATAAATGATACACATTTAAGACTTTATGGGATAAAATTGTATACTTTGTCTGACGAATCATCGTTTGTCTAAGGATTTGCATCTTATATTTCGTCTAATTTGTATTTTGCAAAAATATTTTCAATTATAAAAACGTTCTGTTTGTTATTATTAAAACTTGAAAACTTGAGAGATCTAAGATTGTCTTTTGATTTAACAATTGCATCATAATTATTACATAAATTAATAAGGTCAAGACATGTCATGTCTCTATGTATTTTGATTAAAAATAATAAAAAATAAAAATAATAGATTATACAAAATGTAAAATCAAGTAAGATAATATATAATTAAAAAATAAAATGATATTAAAAAAATTGGAGATCGAAGGTGATTACAAAATAAAAGGATAATTATTATTAACAAAGTGAATAATTAATTTTTTTATACATATTTTTTTGTTCTATTTTACTCTTAAGATATATGATGGTAGAAACAGAATGATATATGATAAAGGAGTATAAATATCTATAAAAAAATGTAAAAATCAAAGAGATGTATATCCTTTATATATTGTATATTGTATAGATAAACAAAGAATTATAAATGTCCATTTTACGGCCTTGTTAACAACTAGTTGTGGCTTAAGTTTTGAAGTGTGTAAGAACTTTTGTCCCCGGCTTTTCCTAGAAAGGTGAAGTTTTACCTAAAATAAGGAGTCCACAAACCGAATTAAGCACTGAACCAAAACTCCAAAACAAATCTCAAATAAAGGAAGTAGGAATATGAAAGATATTGTTCACCTAATTAGAGGCTTCTTTAGTGGTACACATGAGGAGTCACACTTAACAATGGTGTTGTCACGAATCAGGCTTTTGCCAAAAAGGAAGAGACAAAGGGGAAAAAGAGAGAGAATAGTTAGAAATGCTTCAATTTCTTCATACTATTGCATGGTAAAACAACTTTGAAATTTTTTACAAAATAAATCACTGAAATAAATAAGATTGGTCAAGAAATAAACTAAGAGTTAACTCATAAACTAAATATTTCATGTTTGGGGTGTGAGGGACAAATGCCAATTTGACACTCGTGTAAAAATTCATAAAGGAACCTGTCAAATTCATGTGATATATCAAATAAACTATATGGACTATAGAAAACCTCATAATAATGGTATTAACATATTGTTTCTTTCTTACCATTCTTGAAAGAGTATCATGTTCTTCAGTTATTTCAATCCATTTATTAATAAGCCAAAACATATATCAACATTCTCAAGGGAATTTGTTGCTTTCCCAATAATGTTAAACTTTTTCAATCCATTTATTAAAAAAATCAACCAACCAATATTCAAGCCTTATCTCATCTAACACAGATGAACAATTACTCCTATAAAAACCTTTTGGTAAAAGCATTTCATTTCGGTTGAAATATAAACCCATCTGTTACCTAATTACAAAAGCTTGTCATGGAACACATAAAAAACAGAGGAAGAACACTTTGTATATGATAGAAGTAACTACAACAAAATTCCTCAAGATTAATTGGCAGAGTAGGTACAGTCCTACTGATACAATACAAATTACTCACTTGAATTTCCACCCACAAGAACAAACCAAACCACACAATTTAACAATCACAATCTTCACATTCAACCTCTAATCTCCGACATATCAAACCTTCAAACAAACCAGTGAATATCATTCACTCAAAAACACTATTCAACATTTTCAACTCTCAAAAGTATCTTCAATCAGCAACCCATTTAAAATAAAAACAAAATATACAATATCAAAATCTACATGACTACATGGCATCAGAGAAGAACCATATCCTCGACCACAAATTTGACTGCCACATCCATGTTTTTAAGGTCTCCACCTCTGTATTGCGACCACATTTGGAGCCACATTTGTTCACAAGTTCCTGCGATGTCAAAGACCGCAACAAGACCACTATGAGACCACATGTGACAAAATCAAATTGTTTTTCACTCAATTTCAGTTCTTCCCAAAACTCCATGAAACATGAAATCAAATTATTTTCCAAGATAATCTTAAACAAAAGAATCACCATGAAATGAACACTAAGAAATGTTCCAAAATGTCGGAAAACAAAATTGTGAAAAAAATTGGAGCTACCTCGATATAACTCTGAAAATATGAAATTCATCTACGAGTTATCTCTCGATCAATAGTGAATCCAAGTTACCACCATATGCACAAAAAATATTTCCTTGAGAACCTAAAAATCAAAACAAACACATGCAAATTAAATTGAAAGGGTGAATTTGCAAAGGGAAAATGATAATCAGTGAATGTTTTGAAGGTTCAAATAGAAATTTCAAAATATTGGGGAGAACAGGGTATTGAATCTAAACCCAATGCAATGTAGAGAAGACAAAAATTAATCCTAGCCATCAAATTTTTCACAAGAAATCCCATAGGAAAATCCTGAATTTCTAGTAGTGACATGACAATGATGAAATTAATTAACGTATCCCACACCATAACAAAGCTTCCTTTGTTGCATCATCACCGAAACAATTAATCAATCATACAAATACCCCCTAAATAAAATAAAAAAAACTGAATTCTCAAGTTCCAATACTGAAATTTTTTTCAGCACATACAAGAAATCTTTAAATATGTAAAAAAAAAAATTACTAAACAAAAAGAACAAACTAAAGTAAGAGAAGTAGGGGGCATGCATGACTCACCATAGTTTTCACAGCCAAAGAAACATATGGGACTCTCATGTATATAATAAGAGGTACATACAACATCATGGTGAAGACCTCCTCCTCTTCTCTGCATGAAGAAGTTGTTCCTCTTCTTGTTCATTTTCATTATTAGAGCCTTCAACTCCAATTCCAATTGCTCTAGGCAGCAACTCATTATAAGAGATTTGAGTATTGGATTTGGATTCAAAATTTTCCATGCCACTACTACCAAACACCTTCAATCCTGATTCAGAGGCATACACTGGGAATACCCCACACTCTTTTATGATCTTTTGATGGTTTTCGTCATCATAACCAAATTCAATTTTAAATGGTACATTGTAGAAAAAATCTGTTATTTTAGCATATGAAAATAACACATGATCTGAAATTGTAGCTTCCCAAAATATGAAATTGTTATCTTGGCCAACCTTTTTTCCATCTTGATATATAGAACATAAAACTTCTCCTTCATATGATCCCTTAGAAAAAACGATGCAATAAATGAAACCACACAAGTCAGATAGTGGGAGACAAGGAATAATTATTGAACTTCCTATTGTACGAAACCCACACTCATCCATGACACGTTCTCCTGGGAAGATGAAATACCCAAACTCATAAAAGTTAGGATTATTAAGATATTGTTTGTGTAGAAAGGGTATGCGTCTATGTAACATGTGTTGTAACACTAGCCTTTGAGTGAAGTTTGTCTCTAGAGAAGTGCAGTTGAAGCCCCTAACCACTCTCACCAATGGTGGAAGTTCTGGTAGAGAAACCAGTTTCCTACAATCATCTATGTCAAGCTCTCTTAGGGACGGTGGAAGCTCTCGAAGAGACACAAGTTTCCTGCAATTATCTAAGTAAAGCCTTGTCAATAATGAAAGGCTTTTGATGTTAGCAGGTAATCTCTCAACATTAGTTCCATTTAGGTATAACGCTTCTAAAGAGGAAAAGTAACCAATGTTGCAAAGGAGTGCTTGTAAGTGTGAAAGATTCGATGCATTGTGTTGTGTGCACCCAAAATTGTTTGGTGGTACCTTGTCAAGATTATTACAACCCCGTAGAGTAAGATAAGTAAGTTTCTTGTTGAACCAAATTGATGATGGCAATGCAGATATAGCAGTGTGAGATAAGCCCAAGTGAGTCATTTCCTCTGATGCCACTGAGAATTCCTTGAGAGATGAACAACCATCCAAGTAAAGTTCACGGAGAGATTTTGAATGAACATTAAGGCTTTTAATCTCTCTACAAACATGTAAATCCAAATATGTTAGCTTGGGGAGAGATGACATTGATGGGTGGAGTTGATCCAAGCTTTCACAATTACGAAGAGAAACACTTTCAAGATTTTTTGCCATAGATAAGTCTGGGATCTCAATCAGGTCTCGAGAGCCAAAAAGGTTAATTTTCTTTAAATTCACTAGGTTCTGTAACAAAAATGATCAAGTCACAATAGTAAAATATCATCAAATTCTTAATCATGATATCAATAAATAAAATAAAACCTTATTTGTTTTACTCTAAAACTGTTTATATTGATATTTATTCAATTAGACTCTTTCTCCCTTGCTTTCACAAATTAGAAGAAAAATGTATGCGTAGTATAATATCATTCATACCTGAACCCCGTCCCAAAGCTTTTTAAGCTTGCTTTTTGGCATGCTAAGTTCCATAAGTTGTTCAGCACAAAAGTTAGATGGCAAAGACTCAAGATTGAAACCATCCCAACGAAGGTACCTCAATTTATAAGACAATGGCTCCAAATCGCTTGTAAGGTACACATTAAATTTGTTTCCTCGATGTGAACTATGGACTATAAGAAGTCTCAAGTTAGTCATCTCTGTGAAGGAATTTGAGCTCAAATTTAGATCCCCAGTTAATTTACTCAAATCTAAAGTTATGCCTTCGATAACATCAGTTCCCTAACAAACAAAATTTAAAATAATAATTAGCATAGCATGGCTATCATAGTAGCTACATTCTTAAATGATACTACCTCTGCCCTAATATATAAGATCCAAATACCTAATTTATCAAGATACAAAAGTAATTGATATAGTTGAAAACAATAAAGTTGTCCCATTTTTATAATTCTTTTAAAAGAAAAAAACTCAAGTACGATTTCTTAGGTGGGATTGGCGCTATTTTTCATTTAGAGTTGGGGTTTTACTTCGATAGTATGCATAAATATATATTAATGAAACTTGCATTAAATATAAGTGCATAATATTGAGGTAAAACTTTAATTCTGATTGAAAAACACACCAATTACATATAAGAAATTATTCTTCATGGTTTCTAACTAGTCTATACATGATATGTAATTAAATGTAATTATTGTTTCCTTGTAACTTGAAACACTTGAATACATGTCATTTTAAAGTTGGTTGGGACCATAGACACTTGGTGATCCTAGAGTGCTTAATAATGTTTCTTAATGAATACTCATTTTTCCTCTTAACTATTATTCTCTCTTCTAACCAATTAGAGTGCATATCTTTTAAAGAGTCTATAATCAATGCATTTCATCAAATTAAGAGAATATATTTTAATTAGTGATAATTTAGTCTAAAAATAATTAATACATGAAATAATATGGATTGAGACTTCTATAAGGTACATGTAATTGTTCTAAGTTGGATCTTATAAATAAGAACACGGGTAGTATATGTATTATTAAAAAAAATAATTGAATCAACCACTCACCTTTTTATATTTCAATACTTCGTGCACATCCTCGTGTTTCCATATTCGACTTCGTTTTCCAGGGTTTTTGATGGATTGTTGACGAACAATTTCTCGACCCATATCTTGTATCAAGTCATGCATTTCTATCCGATTGAATTCTGAGATTGTTATGAGAGCTTTATTCAAAAGGACTTCTATCCCAGATATTGCAAAGAATTCACAAGCTTCCAATAAACTTGTTACCCATTCCCTTCTTTCTCCATTGAAGAAGCATGCAATGTCTAAAAATATGTCCTGTTGAAAATCATCTAACCCATCATAACTTAATTTTAAAATGTCAAAAATTTGCATATTTGGAATTTTTTGGAGTTTTCTCAATTCACTTTCCCATGCTTCTTTACTTTTTCGACGGAAACTTGCACCTAAAACTTTTAAAGCCAAAGGAATACCTTTGCAATAAGAAATTGCACATCTAGATAGATCTTCATACCCATGTTTAGGTTGTTCTTCTTCAAAAACAGACATAGAAAAAAGCTGAAGAGAGTGATTAAAACTCAATTTCTTGACCTCATATACTTCATCATGTGGTCTAAATATTTGCTTATCTCTAGTGGTAACAATGACTCTACTTCCTTGTCCCAACAAATCATCATAATCTTTAAGTAGATATTCTAATTGCTCTGAGGTTGCTACATCATCTAACACAATAAAAACTTTTTTACATCCAAGCCTACGCATGACAAATTGGGGAACTAAAAAGGGTGCATCAAAACAATGATTTTCATTCTCTAATAAATCAGAAAAAAGTTTATTACGTAAAGCTTCTAATCCATGCCTGTTTGAATTCTCCCTTACATTTATGAGGAAACAACCGGAATCAAACTCATGAGATAGTTTGGAATAGAAGGTAGTAGCAAGAGTAGTCTTTCCTATGCCACCCATACCCCATATTCCAAGGGTTATAACTTCACTTGACCCAATTTTTAGTAATGATTCAATTTGTTTGTAATTTTCCTCAATTCCAATTACTCCTTTAAGTTGGTTTGGGTATTTAGGTGTCAGTTTTCGGAAAACATCTCCAACAACGTCCTTAATGAGTTCAGATTCAGTCCTATAATATGAAAAGGGAAACAAAGAAATAATAAATTGTGTGTTATAAGTCTAACAATTTCGAGAGGAAAATAAAAATATATCTACACAAATGATTGTATAAGATCAATATGATAGTGTAGTAGAGAAAAAAAATATATAATTGGGGAATGGAAATACAATCTATAGAGAAGATAAACAATGCCTCTACTCTTTCTACGCGAAGAAAATCTAAAGCAAACTTCCATGACAATTGTTATACTGGGAAAGTATGCTCTCAATAGCAAGTCTACATACAAGACTATTAATAGATAGGATGCAAATTTTAAAATTTATAGGAGAAATTAAGGTGTAGTAGATGGATAAATTGCAATAAATTATCATCACTTATATATATATATATATATATTTTTCATTAATGAGAAAGATTATGATGGCAGCAACAAAATAGTATTTCCGTGCGTAAAATGTACTATCACATAGTGAGACTTTGAACTCAGAATTTCTCCAAACCACAAATAACTTTTTTGTTAATTTATTATCTCTCTCAAATTTCTTTATTTATTTTTTCATTTATTATGTTTAGACACGTTAGTGGACAAATATAGTTCGCTGCAAAGCATCAATTGCATTACAGCTATACACAAAAGAAGGAAACAACTAAGAAAAAAATTAGTACAATTTTTTTAAGATGTTGTTGACATTATTTTTTAATTAAAATTAAAGTTTTTCTTTGGTTATATACGTGAATACATATTAATGATATCTATATTAAATGTAAAGATATAATATCGAAATAAAATTTTAATTTTAATTAAAAAACAACACCATCACACATAAAAAAAACTATCCATAAATTTTTTCCTCCAAACAACTATATATCACTATTCACTTCAATATGTATAATTCCATATCATATGATATCTGTCATAATTTTATCATCCTTATGTTTTTATTGGATTTAGAATTAAATTTGTCCAACTCAATTCAAATCAACACATTATCTTTGTTTCAAAAAATTCAGTCATTCTCAATTCATTTTATTTACCTATTTCGAGAGTCCCACCCAGCTAAATTAGCTATTTCATTGAGAGCAACTTTCCATTTGTTGTAATTGGATTGTCCCTTATGTTTTGCAAAGGCTTGCTCATAGCTTCCAGTTTGCTTCCTCACATGGGCTGGATCTATATTGTAAAATACAGGTATCACCATTTGTCCTTGCTTTTTCCTGCATTCTAGAATCTTGCTGAGTTCTTCCAAGCACCATTTTGAGGAAGCATAGTTCTCAGAGAGAATAACAATAGATACATGAGAATCTTCGATGGCATTGATGAGTGCTGGTGAGATTTCATCTCCCTTTTTAAGCTCATAATCTATAAAGGTTTCAACTTTCTTTTGCTTCAAAGCTTCATGAAGATGGCTTGTGAAGTTCATGCGGGTGTCCTCACCTCGAAAGCTTAGAAAAACGTCATATTTTTTAGGACACACCATAAAAGAAGAGCTAGAGGAAGAAGCAACAACACTGATGATTTGCTGTTCAGCCATTCTGAATTCCAAGTGCTAGCTGCACCTGCATTGATGATAACACTAAACCTATCCTTAATATTATCAGTTGGAATTTCTAAATCATTCTAATATGGGATCAAACACTTTTTAACTTCAAAGTTCATATTCATACTCTTGCTCACTTACGAAAGAACATGAGGACATGTTTTCCAAATTGCTAATGAATTTTTTTTTTTTGGTGTTTTGTGTTTTCTGATCAATGGATATTTCTTTTACCTTGATTAGTGGCTAGCTTTTCACTTGGGAAAGCTGATAGTCCATTTGAACATATCAGCTCAGTTAATAATTAGATATAAAAATCCTCATAACATGAATAATGAATCTAAACATATTCAGATTAATATTTCTTTGACATTTTAATACCATATTGATTGAAAGTTGTGCAGTATGTTCAAGACACTGCAGCTGTTCAATAGACATTGTTTAGAAACTACTCCCTACTTTAAATACAAGCTGGTATCGATTAACAGAAATTTAATATGAAATTGAGTAATTATTGACAGATGAATCTTTTATGATTCATTTTCTTTATAAAATCAAGTGGTGCATGAATTTGACCTGTATACCAGAAAACAATGACTTATGAAACATAAGAAACACATAAACTCGCTCCAATTTGTAATGAAGCTTATACTGATTGGCCTGGTAACAAAAACCTGAAATGTGTGCTTCTTTTCCATCAAACCAAACAAGGTTAAAGTCCAACATGCATAGTTCAACTTGTATTATTAATAGTAATGTGTTTGGATGGGAATTTTAAATGGAATAATTCATTTGTTTGAAGAATTTCAAATTTTTTAAGATGAAATAACTTTGTTTAGATGGAGAATTTACAAAGAATTTGAAATCCAAGCATTTGTGAAATTTTTTGAAATAGTAGAATTTCAAATTCTCTAAAAAAAAAGTAAAAATTTAAAATTTCTCATATTTTTTTTTATTTCACTTATATATTTTATCTTATCTCTTATCTCTTCATGTTTTTAATTATTGAATATTAAAAAATAGTTTTAGAATTATTAAATATTATCTAATATTAATTTTAAAATTATTAAATACTTAAAAATTGGCTAATATTTATTTTTATAAAATTTAATTTAAAAATCTCGACATATAAATATATTTTTAAAATCAGTTTTATCATAGTGAAATTAAATTATCATATCCAACATAACAATTTAAAATTTGAATTGACTTTTTCAAATAAAATATTTTAAGAATGATAGAAATTAAAATCAAAATAATTCAAATACTAAAAATTTTAAATTCCTTAATTTTGTAAAATTTTTCATCCAAACACATAACATATTCACAACAGCATAAACAATCATGCAAGTAATAAATCAAGGATTTCGAATAATTTCTACTTTCTGACCATATAAAACATGCTAAATACTTCATTAGATTAAAAAGTTAAGCCAACATATCAGTTACAATTCAAGTTAGAACTATTGTCAACTCAACAAAAGCAAGCTTGACCAATAATTACAAAGAATATAAATAAATGTCTTTAATCACTTTTATGAAAAGTTCATGCTGTCTAACCAAATATTTTAAAAAAGAAAAAAGTTATTTTTCATCATGGACAACCACTCATGTTTTGAAGTCCACAATCCATTTTCCCAGGAACCTTCCACATTCTTAATCCATTCTCTTTAAACTAAAACATGGGAAAACAACAAGAAATCAAATTAGTCATATCATTTCATCTTCTATTATTTTTATTCATAGGTAAAATTGAAAATGGAGAAAAATACCTTACTACCACAGAACGAATCCAACTTCTTGCAACAGAGACACAAATACACAGATTCTTTACTTCAACGCATGATGAGTTTTTCAGGAGCAAGAGAGAATAACTAGAAGAAAAGAGTACAGTTCAGGGAAATTTCTAAGAAGTTTCATGTTCTATGATGCAGACTCTTCACCTGATTTCTTAACAGGTTCCTGGTGGGTCCTGGTGGGTCCCACATCCTCCCAACATCTTGTTTCATGTGTTTTGACTTTTTGGCTATGCAGCAGAGTCATGGATGACATTGTTTTGGGCTAATACTTATAAATTTATAATCTTAACATGAATCAATTTGGAGCATTGGATGAATCCAAATCCTTGTCTCAGGAAAATGTTTTTAAATTGTTCAAGGACATGGTACAGACTTTTTTTTTTTCAACTAGCAATTTTGTTTCACTTACTAATAATCAATTTGGGTATGAGAAGTACCCAAGTTAGACCATACCCTTGTGACTTGAGATGGATTTTTTTTATTTTGCACTTTATAAAATTGTATAGACTATAAACTTCATTTATTTAATAAGAACGGTTTTTCGATATGTATGGAGCAAATTATAATTAAAATTACCGGTTTGATGCAAGTGAAAAGGTATTTTCATAGCTAGAGTAAATTGACAACGCAGAAGTCTTCATTTATGTGTACCATATCTGTCTCTTAGTGAGCTAGTGAATCGAACATACCCTTCATGGTTAATTGATTTGTTTAAAATACGTCTCATAAAAAGATTCGACCCGTTTCTAAATCATTCCTCCCATGAGTAGTTAAGACAAGACATTATCATTTACAAAATAGGCACAATAATAGATATCAACACTTGTTCCTGCTTAGAAACACTTCTTTCGCTATCTCTTCTTCGTAATCTTCGAAGTCTTCGATGCCGACCGAACACTGTCCTCAGGGTGGGAATGGTACCTGCAAAGGCACTCCGACGCTCAAGTAAGTATTCGGTACAGAGCAATAAATACTTTTATACTAGACAATCATACCTCTTTTCTGTCCCATCACCTGTGTATTTATGGTGACGTATTTGGGCCTGGTGGGCCTTCTGTTTTGGGAAATGGGTAACCCTTTGGTTAACCTTGATCTCAACTAATTAAGTGTGATAAGTATTGTGTAATAGATATCCTAACTTGCCTTTGTTCAATGCGGGTTTACACACACTTGCTCTTCGGCCAGACTTTTAGCCGAAGAGGTGCTCGATTGTTTACTTGACCGAAGGGGGTGTTCGGTCATTCTCAAGGCTGAAGGGGTCTTCGGTCATGCTCAAGGCCGAAGGGGTATTCAGTCATGGTCGAGGCCAAAGACGTGATTTGACTGTTTCACCTTTATGCTCTTTTGCCCGGGTTGGAGTACTCCTTCCCCTCCTTGTAGAAGAAGTATTCGGCTACCCATAAGGTCGAAGGGGGTACTTACCCTTCGGCTGTTGACTTAGCCGAAGGGATGCCCTGTTTGGATGAAGACTCGTCGGTTGAGGTGTTTCTTTTGGCCTTTTCCCAGGCCGAAGGGTGCAGTCGGCCTAGGGTTCAGCCGAGGGGTGTATTTCCCAGTACACTGCCCCCCAAGCCCTAGGATGAAAGACGAAGGGGTTGAGAATCATAGGGTGTAGCCTTTTAAGGGGCGTGTTTGATCAAGTGTACCTCGAGAGTTATGTCCCTCGCTGTATGATTGTGACCGTTGCATGCTTGGCCACCCTAGGGTTTCGTGCCTTGGCATGGCATCTTTTCACCTCCAGGAGCATTTATGAGGGACTCTTGGGATGTCGTGGTTTTCCTATATATATGGGGGTAGGGTCATGACCCATCCCGTGCTTTCATTATATAAAATACTTTGCCTCGACGCCCTCGTTGCTTTAGTCCGAATACTTGTGAAGGTAGGTTGGCTCTTGATTTCGGTCGGTTTTCTTGGGGTAATGGCAGCCGAAGGGGTGACGTTATCGTCAGGATCTTCGTCCGGCGCAAGGATCTCGGTTCATGATGCCGAGATCGAGGCGTTTGAGGGTTCTTCTAGAAGGTTAGGGTTAGGCAATAGTAGGGAATCGGTGAGTTCTTCGTCCGATTTGGACCTTCCGGATGCCGATATGAGTCCCTGGGATTTTAGGCAGAAATTTCCTCCATGTGAGATCCTGGGGTACGAATGGGTTGATAGGGAGGTAACAGCGTACTTCTCGCGTTTTTATGAGAGGGCTGCCGTGGAGCGCCTTCTCAGTGTGTGTACGTTGGCCCAGTGGGAGGATTCGGACCCGTACCCGATCATGTTACGTCGGTGCCGGGCCAAAGGCCCTGGGGGGGGGCGACCTGGATTTTCTTGCGAAGCAGGAGGGTCAGGGGGACTTCTTTTACATGTATGAGTGTTTCTTTCGAGAGCTCGGGATGTCCCTTCCTTTGGACGATTTCCAAATGGGGTTATTTCGCATGTTGAACGTTGCGTCGCCCCAATTGCATCCGAATGAGTGGGCGGCCATGCAAGCGTTCCGGGTACTTTGTAAATACCATTATATAGAGCCAAGTGTAGGTTTGTTTTTGTATTTTTTCTGCACCCATCCGTCAAATAAAATGGTCAAATGGCTTTCCTTAGTTAGGCATGCCGACTGGCCGCTACTGAAACCTTTTACCTCGTCTTTCGAAGGCTTGAAAGCGGGGTTTGTGAAGGTCATAATAGACCTCATTGCCGACCAAAATTATTTCTACGATACCGAGCAAAAACCCTTATTTCCTTTCTACTAGACCTAGACACCTCAAAAGTACGATGACTTTCCAGTGGAGATGATGACCGAGGCCGAGGTTTCGGCCTTGAATTACTTGAAAGGCCTGCCCCGGTGGATCCCGGCTCGGCTGCTGGTGCTATTGCCCAAATCTCCTCGGCCTCGTTTTGAATTAGATGGTATGTATTGATTTTCCCAACCGACATTCTTGTTAAGTTGATGTGTGACTATTTGATTTTTGCAGGTTGGATGGCTCAACAAGGACTCGGTCTATCATATCGTCAAGCTTTGTGGAACCGAGCCCCGGTGGGGACTTCGGCCGAGGACCACCGCAACGTGGCCATTGATTCCGTGCCGGGCGCTGCAGCTGCCCCTCGTCCTGCACCTTGAGACATAGTCCTCCCTGACCCTAATGCCAAGAAGAAAAGGGATAAAGGAAAGAGGAAGGCCGATGCAGTTGGCGCAGACACCAATCGGTCCAAACATCGCCGGTCGGAGAGCCTATCAACAGACTTGGCCATCCCCTCGACCATTGTTTCAAAAGATTTCTTGTCCGAAGAAGTTCGGCCAGCCCGATTGATGTCTTCAGATTTGCTCTCCGAGCAAGGTCATCGGATGCTTGACTCCGCCGCCCCCTCGGCTCAGTGGGCCATGGCTTGCCAATTGCAAATCAGGGCCACGATGATACTTCGGAAACTGGCCTTGGAGCCTATGGATGACTTCCACAATCTCCGAAGAAGTTTGGAGGAGACAAAGACGACCTTCCAACAATCGGTGGAGGCGCACGAAGCAACGTCCAACGAGAAGTTAGCGTTGGAAGCGGAAGTGGCTCGGCTAAAGGAGGCCTGGGGTGCATAGAAGGTCGAGCACTTGCGACCGAGGATGCCGAGCGCATGAGGGTCCGGGAAGTACAAGAGGTCACGGCTCGGGAGGAGCAGGCCAAGGCTGATGCTGAAGCTGCCTTGGCCAGTTTCAGGGCCAATTGTGAAAGTAAAATAATCAAGGAGCACAAGGCCGGCTTTATGCATGCTGTCTAGCAAGCAACCCATTTCCGCGTTGTTCCTGCCAACTTCACCTTTGAGTTGAGCAAGGAATTTTTCCAAGGGGTGTTTATGGATTTTGCCGACGCACCCGAAGATACCGAGTTGGATGAAATGGCTCCACCCCGTTCGGCCTCCCTTGAAGATCCCGGGGCTACTGTGAACGACGACGACGAGACTCAAGGCGGGGATGATCGGACCACAAGTGTTGAGTGAGCCGTTCGACGTCGTGTTTTATTTTTTGATTGTACATCTATTTTGAGGAAGATGTATAGGTGTAGGGTATACTCTTTTTGCTTATTTGTATTTGTTGGGCCATTAGAGCCGAGACTTGATTGTACCTTTGGCCATCAGTGCCATTTTGGCTATTGGAGCCTTTTAATGAAGTATTTCCTTGACATATTCGGACTTTATTTTTGTTTCCTGTTATGCTCTTTTGCATTTGGTCTTACTTGAATCTTCTATCAATTAATTTCTTAAGTAACCAAGCCGCCCCGGATCGGTATTGACAAATAGGAAGAAAGGATGTTTAACAAGTATTTCTTTTGGTCGAACGAGGGGTGTCTACTGTTATCATCTTTGACCAATTGGGGGTACGTGGTAGGTTATAGGTTGGCCCCCTCGTTCGACCAAGTGAAGGTACTTGAGATAATTCAAGTTGTTCGTCGTTGACCGAGTGGGGGTACTCGGTGGGTTTGTGATTATACATCCTTGGTCGAGTAGGTGTTCGGGAGGGATTCAATTACACATCCTTGGTTGAGTAGGGGTACTCGGGAGGGTTCAAGTTGGTTCCTCCTTGGCCGAGTAGAAGTACTCGGGAGGGTTTAGTTGTTCGTCCTTGGCCGAGCGTATATACTCGGGAAGGTTTCACGTGTTCATCCTTGGCCGGGTGTAGGCATTCAGGAGGGCTTTAAGTATTCATCCTTGGTCGATCGCAGATGCTCAGTAGGGCTTTAAGTGTTCCTCCTTGGCCGAGTGTAGGTACTTGGGAGGGTTTTAACTGTTCATCCTTGGCCGAGCGTAGGTGCTCGAGAGGGCTTTAATTGTTCCTCCTTGGCCGAGTGTAGGTACTCGAGAGGGTTTTAACTACTCAGCCTTGGCCGAGCGTAGGTGCTCGGGAGGGCTTTAATTGTTCATCCTTGGTCGAGCGTAGGTGCTCGGGAGAGCTTTAATTGTTCATCCTTGGTCGAGCGTAGGTGCTTGGGAGGGCTTTAATTGTTCATTCTTGGCCAAACATAAGTGCTCAGGAGGGCTTTAATTGTTCATCCTTGGCCGAGCGTAGGTGCTTAGGAGGGCTATAATTGTTCATCCTTAGTCGAGCGTAGGTGCTCGGGGGGGGGGGGTTAAGTTCATGATGTCTCCAATCGGGGGTTCCAGAATTAATATAACATGTCAACAAGATTTGTTTCATTGATGAGGTGCCTCATTAAAAACCTTTCTCAGTAAAACGTCTTTCACAATTTTCTTACAAGAGGAAAAAACCTGAGAAAGGAAAAGAGCGCACCGAAACAATTACATGTGGCTTGCTAACTAAAACAATGCTTTAAATATGTAACATTCCAAGTGCGCGGAACGATTTTCCCGCTGAGTTCTTCAAGTTTGTAAGCCCCATTATTGAGGTTGTGCCGTATTCGGAAGGTGTCGTCCCAATTGGCAGCTAACTTGTCTTGGGCCCTGTTTTTCCTTGCTTCTCCGGCAACTCTCCACACAAGGTCGCCCTGGTGGAATTCTCTCGGTTTGATTTTGGTTCGGTGTTTGCGAGATACCCTTAATCTGCATGCTTCCATGTTGATGAGCGCCCGATCCCTTGTTTCTTCGATCAAGTCAAGTTCCATGTTGAGTGCTTCAACGTTGGTCTCCTCCTTAAATCATTGTCGTCTTAGAGATGGTTCCCCTATTTCGACCGGTATCATGGCGTCTGTTCCATATGTAAGTCGGAAGGGAGTTTCTTTGGTAGAGCTTTGTGGAGTGCACCTATATGCCCATAAGATTTCCGGAAGATGATCGGGCCATTGCCCCTTGGCTTGCCCCAATTGTCTCTTTAGCTCTCTTAGGATGACCTTGTTTGCTACTTCAGCTTGACCATTGGACTAGGGGTGCTCTACCGATGTCATCCTGTGTCTGATTTGAAGTTCATCGAGAAACTCGTTGAAACAACAGTCCGTGAATTGGAGGTTGTTGTCCGTGATGAGAGCGTGAGGCACCCCGAATCGGGTGACGACGTTCTTCTAGAAGAACTTCTGTACGTTGTTCGCTGAGATGACCGCAACTATTTTTGCTTCGACACACTTTGTGAAGTGGTCTATGGCCACTATCAATAATTTTATTACCTGTCCTTTTGCCGACAGGAATGGTCCCAAAATATCCATTCCCCAGACTGAGAAGGGCCACGGGGTCGTGATAAATTGTAGATCCTCGGTCGGCTGGTTCGTTAAGGGTCCATGTTGTTGACACGATTTGCATTACTGCGCGAACTTGGTTCTATCAGTTGTTAGAGTTGGCCAATAGTAACCCGCCCGGATGTCCTTAGCTGCGAGGGTTCGTCCTCCCGAGTGAGTTCCACATATGCCTTTGTGGATCTCTCGGAGGACATAATTTGCTTGTTCAAGTGCTAGGCACTTTAGAAGGGGTGACGAGACGCCCTGCTTATATAATTCTCCAGCTATTAAGGTATACCGTGCGGCCATGGTTCTCATCTTCTTTGCTTCGAGAGGGTCGGTGGGTAATTCTCTAGTTGAGAGATGATTAACGATACCGTTCATCCAGTTAGGGCTTCCTTGTTGGACTTGTAAACATTCGGTTTCCACGATGCTTGGGCTTTGCAGTTCTTATTGTATCATACTGTGCAAGTGGCTAGTTCTCTTGCTGCTTGCTAGCTTGGCCAACTGGTCGGCTCTTGCATTGAGTTCCCGAGGTGTGTACTCAACGCGGACTTCCTCAAAATTGTTCTTCAACTTTTGGAAAGCATGGAAGTAAAAAAGTAGTGTTGGTTCTTTAATTTGGAATGTGCCATTGACTTGCCCCGTCACCACTTGTGAATTGCTCCAACACTTGACCCTAGTGATGCCTAAGTCACTCGCCAGCCACAAACTGGCCAACAGAGCCTCATACTTGGCTTGGTTGTTGGAAGCTTTGAAACCGAATCTTAGTGATTGTTCGACCACTATGCTACCAGGACCTTCTAGTATAATACCGGCTTTGCTGCCTTGTTGGTTTGACGACCCTTCCACGTGCAAAGCCCATATGTGCGGCTCGGGTGGCAATTCCGGGGCGAATTCATTTATGAAGTCGGCCATGCTTTGTGCTTTGATGGATCCCCTTGGTTCAAAGCGAATTTCGAATTGTGACATCTCTATAGACCAAGCGACCATTTGTCCAGCTAGTTTGGGCTTTCGCAAGACTTTAACCATTGGGCTATCTGTCTTTACTACGACTCTATGGCTCTAGAAATAGTGCCAGAGGCGTCGGGCTGTGTGTACGAGAGCTTGGACCGTTTTCTCGAGATGTTGGTATCGGGTCTCAGCGTCCTGTAAGACTCGGCTAATGAAATATACAGGCATTTGTTCTATTTGCTCTTGCACCAGAGCCGTCCTGATGGCTTTGTCAAACACCGTGATGTAAACGATCATATCTAGTTGGGGATTTGGCTTAGCTAGCAACAACGGGGATGTGAGCTTTGTCTTGAAGTCTTGAAATGAGGATTTGCATTCTTTGGTTCATTTGAACTTGCTGGCCTTTTTTAACAGGGACATTATGGGCCTTGATTTGTCCGCCATGTAGGGAAGGAATCTAGCCAACGAAGCTATGCGCCCGGCCAGTCGTTGGACTTCCTTCACATTACGTGGTCTTCTCATATTGACGATGGCCTGGAACTTGTCGGGATTAGCTTCTATGCCTCTTTTTGACAACATGAAACCCAAGAACTTTCTGCAGGCGACTCCAAGGGTGCACTTCGCCGAATTCAACCGCATGTGATGCTGCCTTACTTCGTCGAATATTGTTCCGAGGTCTCTTATGTGGTCGTCGGCGGAAGTAGACTTAATTACCATATCATCCACATACACTTCCATGCATGTCCCTATCTGCCGACGAAAGATATTATCCATGAGTCGTTGGTAGGTTACCCCCGCGTTTCTCAAGCCGAATGGCATCACTTTGTAGTAGAAATTGGCCGAATCGGTTATGAATCCAGTTTTTTCTTCATCTGGTGGGTACACGGGTATTTGATTATACCCTGAGTAAGCGTCGAGGAAACTTAACCTCTGATGACCTGCTGCTCTGGCAACTAACGCGTCTATGTGTGGCAGGGGATAAGCATCTTTTGGGCATGCCTTGTTCAGATCTGTGTAGTCGGTACATCCTCAGGGTGGGGATGGTACCTGCAAAGGCACTCCGACGCTCAAGTAAGTATTTGGTACAAAGCAATAAATGCTTTTATACTCGACAATCATACCTCTTTTCTGTCCCATCACCTGTGTATTTATAGTGACGTATTTGGGCCTGGTGGGCCTTCTGTCTTGGGAAATGGGTAACCTTTTGGTTAACCTTTATCTCAACTAATTAAGTGTGATAAGTATTGTGTAATAGATATCCTAACCTGCCTTTGTTCAATGCGGGTTTACACACACTTGCTCTTCGGGCAGGCTTTTAGCCGAAGAGGTGTTCGGTTGTTTACTTGACCGAGGGGGGTGTTCGGTCCTTCTCAAGGCCGAAGGGGTATTCGGTCATGGTCGAGGCCGAAGACGTGATTTGACTGTTTCACCTTTATGCTCTTTTGCTTGGGTTGGAGTACTCCTTCCTCTCCTTGTAGAAGAAGTATTCGGCTATCGATAAGGCCGAAGGGGGTACTTACCCTTCGGCTGTTGACTTAGCCGAAGGGGTGCCCTGTTTGGATGAAGACTCGTCGGTTGAGGTGTTTCTTTCGGCCTCGGCGGCCTAGGGTTCAGCCGAGGGGTGTATTTCCCAGTACAACACATATATTATTAATGATAATAATAATAATAATACGACTGAATTTGCGGGACATAACAAAAAATAAGAAATTTATATCATAATATTACTCTAGTGTATATATAAGACTCATGACCCTCACAAAAGATCAATTTTGACACTTACTAAATATTCTATATCAGGATAGCCATTAGATCTTTTTATAAAAGGTTTCATATCAAAATATTTACAAAAATATATTATTCATTAATTTAAATATATAAAATTTTTAAATTTTGAAATAATTTGTAGATTTAATATATTTATTAAGAACTTTCAATTTAATAATTATTAGATCGTTAAAATTCAACATAAATTATGAGTTATTGATTGTCCTTGGTCTCCTCCTGTGAGTGCCCCTCGGTCTTCAAAGAGTGTAGAAAGAAAAGAAGAGAATGTAGAAGAAAGGAGTCAGAACTGAAAGAAGTCAGAACTGAAATGTGTGCTTTTTGGGAGTTCCAAAGCTCTCTATTTATAGGCATCAGGCGTCGCCGGAACGGCCTGTTTCAAATCTGAAACGTTCCATTCTGGACTCTGACGGCATGTGTAAAATTCACATCCAGAACGGCCTGTTCTCAAACCAGAACAGCCCGTTCTGGGGTTGCACTTAAACCACAATGGCCATATCTGGAATGACCCATTCTCAATTAGGATTATAGGCATTTTTGGTGATTTGGAACGCCCCGTTCCAATTTGGGAACGCCCCCCGTTCCCATCTAAAATTTGTGGACAATTTTTGTATTTTGGAATGGCCTGTTCCAGTTTGGGAACGGCCCGTTCTGAACTACAAAATCACTCATTTTAGTAGTTTGGAACGACCCGTTCCAATTTGGGAATGACTCGTTCTAGGCTACTAAATTACCCTCTTTTTAGTAGTTTGGAACGACCCATTCCAATTTGGGAACGACCCGTTATAGGCTACTAAATTACCCTTATTGGGCTTTTGGGCTCTCAAACAATCTGTGAAAATTGGGTTGTTACAATTCTCCCTTCCTTGTAGAAATTTTGTCCCCGAAATTCACCTGTAAACAGAAATAGGTAGGCTCCTCACATCTTGTGTTCTAATCCCTATACAACCTCACTACCTTACTCATGTACAACTCTAACAATCTCACCAAGGAATATCTATTATCAACGAGGGTAAGGCAAGTAAACTTGGTGAGTCTAACCACTATAACCCAAAAAAAATCAAATTTCATAATCATCTTAGGCAAGCCTACAACCAAGGTTTATCTACACACCATCTCACTCCCAAAATGGGACATCTAAAGGCTGCAAAAGTCCTAAAGACTTTTAGCATACTAAACACGAGTACACAAATTCCTCTACTCCTCTCTTCACCTTAGGCCACTATGCTTCCGCTGTGCTACTCTGATACATCATAGTAACTCCTAAATGAATGTTAAGAGTACTCTTATGTCCTTCCTCTAAGATCATCTTCCTTAATTTGAGATTACTAGGCACCCAAATTTTTTTCTTGCACCTCAAAACAATGTCAATTCCTACTTAGAAAAAGTTATTTATACCCCTACTAATCTTCTCCACTTGGTTCACTAAGAAAGGATTTGACTGTTGGTTTCTCTAATTTCATCCATTAACTCACTAGTCATTTTCAATATACCCAATTCCATGCTCCTAAGGGTAAGCTCACTCACTAAGCTTAAGTCTCTAAATTCTTCAATCAAATCCAACCTTTAAATCATCAAAGAAAATAGGTAAATGGTCATCCTAATCAAGGCATCTATCACAATATTAGCTTTATTTCTATGACCATCTCCAAAGATCAAGTGCCTAAGCGTAAGTTCACTAGGTTCACATACTCGGTCTCAAAGTCTTACTACTCCATTTATACTTAAGGCAACCTTTTATTCATTACCTTGTCCTATAACCTCATATCTTGACACCAAAAATGAATCAATTAACTATTCTTCTCCAATTTCTTTCAACAATCCACTTGTTACTCGAGTAATACCTAGTTTCACATTACTAGGAGTAATCTCATAAGTCAAACTTAAATCCCTAATTTGAGCCCAAAAATCCATCTCTCTAATCATAAGGGAAGATAAATATAAAAGTTTCCTACTCAAAACACCGGTCACCACAATGGCTTTGGCCAAATAACAAATAAGATCAAAATCTTATTCCTTAAGAAGTTCCAACTATCTCTTTTGTCTTATATTCAACTCCTTTGGTCAAAAGATATTTAAGGCTCTTATGATCACTAAATAGCTCAAGCTTAGAATCATATAGGTAGTGTCTCCAAATCTTGGTGTAAATATTACAACCGCTAACTTAAGGTCATGGGTAAGGTAATTCCTTTCATGGATTTTCAATTGCCTAGAAACATAAGCTAATACCTTTCCTTCTTGCATCAACACTCCACCCAAACCTATCTTAGAAACATTAACATATACCACAAAAGACTTACTAAGATCGGCTAATGTTAACACTAGTGCACTAGTCGATCTTTCCTTAAGAGTTTGGGAACTACTCTCACACTTACTATCTCACACAATGACAACATTCTTCTTAGTCAATCTTCTCAAAGGTAATGCTATCTTAGAAATTTACTCAATAAACCTCTAATAACAATGAGATAATCTAAGAAAACTCTCTAACCTCACTAACTGACTTAGGTATCTCCCACTTAAGCACAACTTCTACCTTAAATAGATCTATATTATACCCCCGCTAGAAATTACAAGACCTATAAAATTCACTTCATACAATCAAAAATCATACTTAGATAACTTAGCCTAAATCTATCTTGGATATAACCTCACTCTCAACTCCAATCTGGTAATATCACACCCTAAGGTCAATCTTACTAAACACATAAACACTCGCTAATTGATCCATAAGGTCATCTATCCTCATATCAAATCATATTAGAATACCTACTTTAATCCTTCATATATACCATCTCTAAGCATGTACGAATCAATCACCGTTTACACCATATAGCATGTACATGAACCAACCTTACCACATAGCATCATACCATCTTAAACAACCACTCAATGACAACACCTCAGAACATCATATCCAAATCAGTTTTTATCCTTGCTATGCCTAACAACTCAAAAACATCATGACAACATATTCCTCCCTTTAACAACTATCAAAGAAAATGACACATAGAGAGTTATACTCATCCCAATGATCTCAAACCTATCTCAAAAGAAAGCTAAGAGAATAAGCTACAACTCTTATGAAGACATAAGATTCTAAAAAGATCATATTCTTAGCTAAAAATTCAAAAACCACAACAAATATATTCAGTGCTTACAACTAGACTTCTGATCACCAAATCTGTTATAACTAGAGTTCTAGACCTCCGTTTTATCTGATTCTAGTTCCATTAGAAAGATAACATCCAAGGATACAACTTTTATGAAGATCACAAAATCTAATTCTGTGAATATATAACACTTGTACTGGCACAATAAAATTGTAGTGCAAACATCCCCTACACCAGACAACAATAGTGTATCAACATATAAAGCCATGAAAATACCTCAATCCTTCAAAACTCACACCTCAAATTCATATCAAAGCTTCCCACTAAAATCCTAAACCAAAAAAACTCACATATTCATCACAAAAGACTTAGAGAATAAAACTCACATGCTACCTAAACCATAAAAGGTTAACATGCAAACACCAACACTCAAGGAAATTACCAACGCTCCAATCTCTCATCAAGAATATCAAAACTCCAATTCTCAACGTACAACCTCCTTGGATTCAACAGCTACAACTATAGATGTCAGAAACTCCACCAATTGTAAACTCTTAATACACTCGACAAGTCAATATCTCACCCACATCCAAGGTTCTAATAGTTCTAGTTGGCTAGCACAAGGCTTCATCCACAACTACTGGCACATATGCTCGCAACACGAGGGATACCACTCAACCACTACTTCTTACGTAAGCAATAAGTATCAAAACGAATAAGCAATCATGAATAGCATCAACTAAGCTATATCATGTCTTTCAGCCAAATTCTAAGAAAACAATATAAGTGTAAGCAAAACTCTAACAACACTAGGGAAATGATGGAATCATGCTAAGGAAGGCAAGAGGTGAAAACTTAAAAGATCCAAGAGGAGTGGGTTAGACATGGAGGTTTGGGCCAGTCAAGGCCCAATGGGCCCGATGGGCCTGGGAAGGCCCAAGTTGAACTTTTCATGGGCCATATTTTGTTATAGCTATTTTCATATGTTTTGTATACATCATGTTAGTATAGGTATCATATATTTTGGTCTTGTATTTTGGACCACATAGAGTAGCATTTTAGGTTTTAGGCTTGTTGGGCCTAGTTTTGGGCTTCATGGGCCTTTGGGCTTTTGGTACCCAATATTGGGCTCATTTTCATTCTTGTAATTTTTCCTTTCCATTGTA